AGGGGTGATTAGCCACAAGGTATAGATAGGGACTCTGGGGCAAGTGATGCTCTGTCTTCTTGGTGCTTGGGGGGGGGTTAACAGTGGGAGGGCCTCTAGTGTCCTGGCCCCACTGATGGACCTCCTGATGGCACCTGGTATTTTTGGCCACTGTGTGACAAAGTGTTGGACTGGATGGGCCTTTGGCCTGATCCAACATTGGCTTCTCTTATGTTCTTATGGCTATTATAAAAAAAATCTCCTGCTAGTCCCTGCTTCCCCCCCCAAAAAAAAAATGCTCCCAGGGTATGTAGGCTGCAGCCTGGTACCCTAATTGTAACAGTCACGTCCCAAAGTTACTTGGGCATGCAAACCACTACCAGGCTGTTTATTTTTCAGCAAGAAGGGCAGCTAGTGTGGAAAGTTTGGAGTCTTCTAGTGTCCTGGCCCCACTGCTGGACCTCCTGATGGCACCTGGTATTTTTGGCCACTGTGTGACAAAGTGTTGGACTGGATGGGCCTTTGGCCTGATCCAACATTGGCTTCTCTTATGTTCTTATGGCTATTATAAAAAAATCTCCTGCTAGTCCCTGCTTCCACCCCACCCCCCCAAAAAATGCTCCCAGAGTATGCAGGCTGCAGCTTGGTACCCTAATCGTAACAGTCACGTCCCAAAGTTACTTGGGCATGCAAAACAATACCAGGCTGTTTATTTTTCAGCAAGAAGGGCAGCTAGTGTGGAAGGTTTGGGGTCTACACCAACAAGTCAATGTTGGAGTGAGCGACTCAGCAAAACTAGCCATGGGGGGGGGGGGCGCTACATCACTCTAAGTGTGTATAAGTGTTATTGCTTTAATGGGATGCCTCTTTTTGTCTTATGCTGGGAGCTGCCCTCTGACCCCTCAGACCCCTCCCTTTGTTCTCTCACTCTCTTCACATGTCCTTCCATAGAGACAAATGTCTCTGCAAGTTTCTCCTGTAGATAAAATGACCTCATACTCCCACATAAAGGTAAAGGTTCCTTTGTTCGAAAGCCAGTCGAATCCGACTTTAGGGTTGCGGTGCTCATCTCCGTTTCCAAGCCGAAGAGCCAGCGCTGTCTGAAGACGTTTCCGTGGTCATGTGGCCGGCATGACTAAACACCAAGGCGCACGGAACACTGTTCCCTTCCCACCGAGGCGATCCCTATTTATCTACTTGCAATGTCTTGCTTTCGAACTGCTAGGTTGGCAGGAGCTGGAACTAGAGACGGGAGCTCACTCCGTCATGCGGCACCCGGGTCTCGAACTGCTGAACTACTGACCTTCCACAGCCTGCAGTTCAGCGTCTTAACCACTTGAGCCACCACAGCTCCATAGATACCCCCACATATATGATACCAAATTAGCTGCCCATTTGTCATAGGGAATTTACTTTTTAGATTAGGCTTCTTTCTCTTCCTTTGACTGCAACTTGAATGTGAACTGGATCTTCTTGAAGAAATGTAATAAATGCAAGCCATAGTTCTGTCAGAGCTGTCCTCTCAAGG